GTATTTATCGTTGAGAAATGGGGAAAAGTGTAATTATATAAAGTTTGGGGTTAAAATAAAGTTTGGGGGCCAAATGACCATTTTTAAACTTAAAAACGGTCATATTTTCAACCCAAACGGCTAGATTTTAAATATGGCCGTTGGAGATTATTTTTTTTTAAAAAAAATAGCCGTTGGGCCCGTTAAGCCCGCCAGGACCGGCCCAGGCCCGACTGACGGTCNCCCACCAGGCCCGTTAGGACCGCGGGCCCGGTCCGGTTCAGGCCCGGCCCACCGAGCAGCCTTACACCGGGCATGAGCGTGAAGAACATCAGGCTGAGCTTCAGGTATATAGGGCCTATTTGGTTTGCATTCTGAAAATAATTTGATTAGGTAACTGATTATTTTAATCTTTTGATTAAGAAATTTCCAGCTTTATAAGCTGATAAGTCATTTTTCATTAAACGTGAGTGTTATGTACAGTAAATTAAGATCGATTTTGATGACGGAAGTGGTGGTTTAATTGAAAATACTGATTAAGCGAGCTAAAAGAATCCAAACCTCAAATCTATAATTGGAATTAGTATGTAGAATTGAACACTTCTATCATTTTGATTTAAGTGATTTTTCTTTTTATCGAGTATTCATATTTACTAATTTACGAAATGATGTTCTGACTGATTGGATTCTGAATTTAGGGGAGAGATATTTTGGAGATGGATTATCCAGTTGGACCATCTGGTACCAAGGTTAGTATTTGTTCAACTTTTATTTTACATTTTGAAGTAATTCTTATATTGGATATTAATATTTGTGGTGTTCTGAGAGGTTAAGATTAAGAACACAAGATATGAAGGTTTCTTGTAGTTGATTAACATATGCGCAACTGTTGAACTGTAGGTTACATGTGCAAGATTATTTAGTGTGTGTGTTATGACAAGTAAGGTTGATCTGCAGACCAATTAGGCGTTGGTTAGACTAGACTGAGTAACCCAATTTAGTTGTGACCTCTTGAGTTCAATTGAACACTTTGAAATGGGACTGCATAAACCTAGAGGATTAGCGCATGTGGTTGAGCGATTGTGGCTACCTTAAATTGGAGAATATTGAGCTTGACCGCCTTTAAAGGAAAATTCATTTATGATACTTGACTCTGTCAAACGGGTTATATTTTATTCATCTATAAAAGTCCACAACTCTTTAATATTGGTGACTTGGATTAGCTGAATACATATTTCCCTTGCCCTGAGTTAACTCATACTTGATTCTATTTTTTGGACTTTAACAAGAGCAGTATATATTTCCGAGACAAATTCTGTGGTGAAATTCCTTCCAGCTAAAAGTGAAGCGTGCAGGAGCTCATTCTTTAACTTCACTGCTTTTTTGTTTCCCGTTTAATGGGCCTTAGGGGGTGCAAATCCGAATAAGTCTAGGCCCCAATAGGGGTACTGGGTAGAAAACCAGGAAAAAATACTCAGAAGATAATGACCAATATGTATGTTGGACATTTTGATTACAATCATCATATATGAATCTGTCGCACTGTGATCTCTTTCTTGCTTGAGATACTGTATTTTTTGGGATGTGAATCTAACGTCTCTTCTCCACAGGACATGTGATTCCAAAAACTGATTATGCTTCTTTCACAAACCAAGCTCATGGAACGTATTATCCGCTTTGGGCCTAGGCCCGCACGGATTTGTCTTTCGGGCTACACCGCATTGACAATGGCGGATCTATGGGTATACGGGCGGGTCACGTGAACCCATGCTCCTCTCCCTAGGCTATGTGCATCATTGGTTATTTTTTGGTAAATGTACTTATATTTTAATGTGTGCCTCCATGCTCAATAGAGCACTTTGGTGTATTGGCTAATGGGTGCCCCTTTGACTCCTAGGTTGAGGGATCGAAACTCATGCCCCTTTTTCCAATTAAAATCTTTTTACTTTCTGTTTCCTTTCTTTCTTTTCTATTTCTTTATTTTTCCCATTTGTTCTTTTCTCGTTTAACACTCTTCGAGAGGTGCAAAACCTTGAAAGTACATCCCTCATCAGCCTGTTCTTTGTCCCCCCCTCCCCCCCGGGACTCAGCAAGGACACTGAGGTTTGCCCTACTATCGTACTGAGGGAGATTCGACTTTGATACTATATTTATCACGACCCAAGCCCATGGAACGTATTGTCCGGTTTGCGTCTAGGCCTGTACGGATGTCTTTTGGGCTACGCTACACGAACCCCAAAAGCGCACGTACCATGTGAACTTGTGCCATGCCTTATAAAGCTCTTCACTTCCCTCTCCCATTCCGATGTGGGATTCGCCTAAGGTGACATGTGCACCCCTTCTTCGAAAGCTAGCCAGCCTAGAAGTCTGCCGGTCCTGCTTGACCCCACTTCATCAGCCTGTCTTCTGTCATGAGCATCACAACTTCCCTCAATGTGAAAATTATGTTGCCGATGAAGTCTTTCCATCATTTTATAAATATTTCCCCAAATTCCACACCCTACAGGAGGTGCAATGTTTTTAGTCTTCCATACCCCTTTCAAAATTTCACACATTTCTGCTATCAGCTTCCTCCATAGAGCGTGCTCCTCAATCCTGAATCTCCATAACCATTTTTCTGATACGACCTTGTTGAAAAACATAGAGATCTTTCATCCCAAGACACCCCTCCCCCCAATTTTGTTGGAGATGTAACATCCTCCTAGTTGACTAAGAGAAACTTCCTAGCCCCCATTTGTGGAGTCTTATAGGAAGTTCCTTTGGAGCCTTTCTAATTTACCTGTGATATTCCTTGATGCGGCAATGACATAAAATACATAGGGATGCTCGACAGAGTCTACTTCCTTCAATCCTTTTGATATATACCTCTTTTTATATGATGCTAGCCTCTTTTAAACTCTCTTAATCACCGGGCTCCATGTTGCTTGGTCTTTATTGGGAGCGTGCAAAGGTAAGCCAAGATAAGTGGTTGGAACTTGGAAGAGCTCCAACCCTATAATCGAGCACGTGTGCTAATCGCGCAGTATTATCCACTTCACCTATTGGAATAATCTCACACTTCTTGAGGTTGATCTAGGGCTTGCACTGCCTCGTACCACATAAGAACCCTTCCAAGAAAATTTAACTGGTAAATTTCTGCTTCACACTAAACAGAAGTGGTCATCTGCGAACATGAGGTGTGAAACCCTTGTCCCCTGATTGTTGCAGAGTAGCCCCTCAAGTGACCACTTACCATAATTCTATCCATCATTGTAAGTTTTTCCAATACCAAGATGAATAGCATGAGAGGCAACAAGTTCCTCTGTCTCAAGCTCCTCGAGCTGCTAATGAAACCCCATGGGCTCCCATTTACTAGGATCGAGAGTGACAGTTGATATGCAGAACTTGATTCACTTTCTCCTCCTAATTCTGAATCTCATCTTCAACATTATATAGTCTAAGAACTCTCGATTCACATGATCATATGCCTTCTTAATATCCTGTTTACACAAGATTTCCGACTCTCCCTACTTTCTTCTGGAGCCAACCACTTCTTTTGCCACCAAAGCCGTGTCTAGCATTTGTGCGAACCCACTCTGAGATGTAACACTGTCTCGTCCAACACTTTCTTCAATCTACTAAAAAACTTCTTAGATATTATTCTTGTAGATGCTTTGCGCTAGACTTATAAGCCTGTAGTCCTTAATATTCATTGCTCCTCTCTTTTCCGATATGATGGCTATGAATAATGTGCCGAGACTTCTTTCGAATTCTCCGGTCTCCTTTTTTTTATGAGACATTAGAACCAGCTATAATATTTCAATTTTCTGTGAACTGTAATCAGTTCAACGCGGACCTAGTTTAGTGATGCAAAAGACATCCCCCCTAGGATAGTCAAGTTCACCTCCAAGAATTAACTGCTAATACAAAAAAAAAAAAAAAAATTAAAAAGGAGCTCTGTAATGACTGTGATGGTGATTACTTTGGATTACTGCCTCTGTTCTATCACTATTGAGGACAACCAAAATTCAAGGTAGACATTAGTCTCAATTTCTTATTACACATAACTAACAATTTTCTGCTAACTCTTTAATGTCACTTCCTTGAACAATACAACTCCACGAGAGTATATCTGGAATCTGATATAATATTAGATATCTACTTTAACTACCTTTTGTGGAAGTCACTTTATGTAGCATAACTTTAGTACTTTACTCAGCAACTGCATGTTTTTAAGTATATTTTCACACACACAAGAATACTAACTGAACTATACGCCTTTTCCATAGGATGCCCTGGTGCTGAAGGAGGTTGGTTAGCTCTTCGTTTTTTCAAACTGGTGTTTTTATTTGGCTATGAACAAGGGGCGCTTTTTAGCTTTCTTATTCTCCCTCCCTCTTTTCGTCTGCATACATTAACATAAATGTACTGAAGAAACCTCATTTTGCTGAATCTATTTTGGCCTTTTCTTTTTTAACAGAAGATGAGCATGATGTGGTCTGGTTTTGGTTGGAGAAAGGCAAGCCTCACGAGTACCCCGTCTGTTCTCAATACTTCAAGGTAGGTCAGAGTACTATCTGCAGATGCAGGAATCCTTCTGAAGTGTTCCAAGAAACATTTTACTGATTGGATTTTTTTACAATGCACCTACACAAACTAACTTGTTGATTTGGTATTTACAGCTAGATGTTGCTGGGCCTGGAGGGCCTCTCGATGGGCATGGAGATGATCACTAAGTTGAGTTATAGGTTTTAGCATTAGAATAAACAGAGACTGTTTCATACTTAATGCAGAGGTCGAACTTGAAACTTTAGCTAGTGAATCTCAGTAAATTTACATTGATTTTTTACTTCCATGGACTAGCCATACCAGAGGCTGGATTTTCTTTTAACCTGTCCATATTATTCTTAAATAATGATTGGCTATTTTTTGTGCCAATTTCAAATGTTTTACTAGCTCATACTACTGCTGTACCTTCTTTACTTACATTTGATTATATGTTTGATTCATGGTTGTGATAATCGTTTCTATTCATCATTGTAATGTTGTTGCTGTAATTCCCAACTGAGCAACATATAAATGAAATAGGTTAAATCGCAACCTAGGGCTGTGAGGCACCGTTCAGCTTCATGTTCCTTGCACTTTGTATGTTGTTTAAATGCCCGTATTGTTAAATTTACAGCTTTTTGTGTCTTGTCCTGTAGCAACTGATTTAAAGAGTATAAAAATGTCTAAGAAGGTGCTATTGATCCTTTTAAGAATATTTCACTACATCTGACTCATTTTTGCTTTATAGAATAGAACCTTAATATATGATGAGGACTATAAATTGTTTTATCTCCTTGCCATGGTATCGATATTTAGTAGCACAAACTCTATAGGTCCAAGAGAAATTTACTGCTCACTCAATGCGTCAACGACCTTAGAATTTGATAAGGTTGGTATATTTTGGTGATCCATTAGTTGACAAGGTTGTGAAGTGTCAGTTGGCTTATTGTCCTTGGATTGGTGTGAATTGTGATACTAAGACTGCATACTCTGTTGCTGACTATGTCTTCTGATTAAATTACAATATAGGCAAAGAACTATGTTATCATCGAAATCCCATGTATTAGAATTGCCGACGATGCGAAATATCCATTTCTTTAGCAGAGACTGATTATATTGGCTGCTTATGCAAACGAATTTGTTAAATATCATGTAGGTTGAGAATCCAATGATAGGAGGTCGTCATCGGTATTGTCATTATATAGTTAAGTTGAAGTTCTCATGCCCCTTAGTGAATTAATGGCAAGTATGAGGGCACGGGAGGCAATTGCTGAATGCCTTAGTGAATTACAGTCTGAATCCCATGAAAATCAGCAGAAAGCTCTGCTAACCTTGGCTTCAATCACAAAGGTGAGCCCTCAAAATAGGAACTTGTTAGCTCAAGCAGATGGTTCTATTTCTACCTTGCTCAGCCTATCCATGTCTCCCTCCTCTTCAACTATTCAACTTCTCGCGCTTTCCATTCTCTTCAACCTCTCACTCAATCCTAATCTGAAGCAGTCACTAGCAGACATGGATAAGATCATGTTTCTCAACTCTGTGATCCTATCGTCAACTTCAGCTGAACCAAGCAGGATAGCAGCTTCTCTACTCTGCAGTTTGGCAATGCTAGATAAGAACAAGGCAAAGTTTGGAGTGGCTGGAACCGTTGAGGCTCTCGTAAAGGCAATCTCGAGACCAAGAGGCCCTGCTTCTCATCACTTTCTGAGCACATTGGCTGAACTGGTGCAGTTTCATGGGAATTGCACGGTGGCTGTCCGAGCGGGGGCAGTTCCGGTTCTGATCAAATTAGTAGAAAGTTCTGATTGTGAGGATCTTGCTGGAACATCACTGGCAATACTCTGCTTGCTTGCAAGATTTGAAGAGGGACTAACTGCTTTGAAAGAGACTGAACAAATTGTGCTATCAATGTTGGAAATTTTGAAGGGAAGGTGCATGTTGAGTAAAGAGGGAGCTGCTGATATTCTACTCCGTTTATTTGATGAAAGTGAGAGATGCATAAGAGATGCTCTGAGGTTGCCTGAGTTTTCATCTGTGATAGCTGATCTTTCTGTTAGAGGGTCAGTGAGAGCTCGAGAGAAGGCTAGTTTACTCATGAAGAAACTAATGGAAGCTAACGTGGATATTGTTTATGGCGATATTGGCGACAAAACCGCGACATATTTGCAATGGTAGGAGTAGCTGCAAGGCAGAGGCAGGTACAAGAAATGAATTTGATGGTAGTTGTTGAAATTTTACTGATTTTCGCATAAAAATTTATGTTTCGTCGTAAAAATACTTGGATTAATTGAACCTGTTATAGTGCATCAGCCCCTCCATGTCGGATATTGTGTGAGTTTACTTCATATGTTGGTGTACACTTTGTCCATCAATCAAGCAATTCATGGAGATTCTTTACAATTCTTAGAGTTACTTGTGAGCGATACTGTGTTAAAACAACAATCAGAAAACAAAACTGTTAGAAGAATAAAGAAATCTAGAAAACAATAAAGAATCAGAAATATTCCGAGTCCACAATTTTCTTGTGCGTCCTTAAGGAATTTTAACCCCCTCACAAGTTGCCAAGGTAATGGATTAAATTCTCCCAGGATAAAACGGAATAAACCTTCCTGCAACAGTGGCAATACAAACTACAGGATGCCAACGAACTCAAAGAACGGAGCAAAATCACACTTGCGAATTTGAGAGAGAGAGAGACTGCGAATTAGGATGCAGTGTATTCAGAAAGAAAAAAGTTCTGGAGTGTTTTTCGTGTGTAGAAAATGGAGCCTTGCCTCAGAATTTATAGGCAATTATCAGAAGAGGTGTCTGAAAAAAGTGCCTTTTCAGAAGAATACGCTGCCTGCCGCGGTTCTACCGCCGCAGTCAAATAGGCTCTCTGAATCAGTGACTTGACATTTAATTAATTATTAAATAATTAAATAAATTTTGTCCAAAAATTAATCTTATCGATCATTTGACAAAGCCAAAGCCAAAGCCAAAGCCGAGTCAAGCAACGACGACGGCGCGAGGGTTCATTCTCTTCAACTACTTTTAAGAGTTTTAAGAAGTGATTATATATATAAGCACACAAATGTGGTAGTGCAAGACAAAAGTTCACTTCTTCAAATTTTTCATTTTCCCTCCATTTCCAATTCACACTTCTTCTACTTTAAAGCCCAATGACTTAAAGTCCAATATTACTAACAAGACATCAAAGCTCAACTTTTCTAGCAAGATATTTCAATTGCTCATCAGGCTAAAGTTTGCAAAAATGCTAACAAAGCACTATTTAAGGATCATCTTGGGTTTTAAGTTAAATATGAATGATTAACCTCTTAAAAGTTAATTCGAGTCTCATACAGAAAAAAGTTATGCACTTGAGGATAAATTTCCAAACAAATAAAGTTTACCTACTTCCAAAGCGAACATAACTCTAAATATTTAATAGTTAATTAACTTCGTTGGTATATGTGGTGAATAGTTTAAACCTCGCGATTATAATGAGATACAAGATTTACTGAGGTGATTGCTCGTAGAATAACAGTTTGATATGATGTCCAATGGTTTGCGTGAATTTTTTTAAATTAGATATTGTTGGGAATACTTTAATTAAAACAGAATATTTAGGGTGTGTTTGGTAAAATATTTTCATGGAAATGAGTGGGTTTATCACTTATTTTTCCTTGTTTGGTCGATGAGCGAAAAAGTTTTTCCGGAAAATATTTTCTAGTATTTAGTTACAACAACAACAACAACATACCCAGTATTATCTCACACCGTGGGGTCTGGGGAGGGTAGTGTGTACCCAGACCTTACCCCTACCTTGTGAGGATAGAGAGGTTATTTCCAATAGACCCTCGACTCAAGATAGTATAAGTACCACATTAATAAAAATATAGGCAAGAAGAGACAGTATCAAAAAGCCATATAAAAGTAGAATAACACAACAAGACACTAAAGTGATCATCAATGAAAGAAAACAACGGTTAGTCATAAAAACCTACTACCTGTTGATACCCAAATTTTTCCTGTATATTTTTTATATGCAAAATACTTTCAAAATAGCACATGTATGCATATATAAGTATTTACAAATATTTTTATTATTTTTCCTTAATTTTAAAGGTTTTTAAAATCAATTTTATTGCCTTATTTTATCAAGAAAAACCCAATAAGTGTTCCCAAAATTGGCATTGTGGTAATTCATTTATTGAATTCTCATATTTATACTAAAATATAGCTAAGGTAATTTTCGCACATTTTTTAAAAATTTATTTAGTATTTTAAAGCTAAATTGCATATAATTGCAATATTAGCCTATTTTAGATTTAATTGCGTTTATAATTACAAAATTGATTTCAGTATTTTTAATATAATATATTATTAATTAATCTAGTACCTTTAATTTGTTTCCAAAAATTAATTTGCTATTTTTTATAAAATAAATGGGGAAAAGTGGCTATTTAAAACCTAGCCAGATTTTATTTTCAATTTCAGCCTAATTTGCACCCCTAATCCAACCCAATTTCAATTCCTAAATCACCCAGCCCAAATCCTAAAACTACCCGGCCCAACCCGGATCAGATCTTGGCCGTTGATCAATTTTGATCAACGGTCTAGATCCGCCCTTACCTTTTTTAATCAAACGACCCCCCCAATACCCTTCATTTTCCCTCACTCATCTCTATCTCTCTAACCCCTGGTTCTCTCTAGAACCTTCCCCCATCCCCACCTCTCTGATGATCCTTTTCACCTTCTCCGGCCACCCTCTAACCGAAATCCATGGTGATTTCACCACCCACCAAGCCACCTACGCCTCCTTACGTCTGGTTAATTGAAGCTCCATGACTCGACCATGAAGGGTTGTGTCCAGACTCTATCGATTCGAGTTCCACGGTCATCTCCGGCCTTGTTCCGGCGTACCATGGTTGTGTGAGCCTGATTCTGACCTCCGACTCAGATCGGTGACTTTTCAAAGCCTTTCTCATTTCTAGGGTTCTTCTGAAACCCTAACCCTTCGAGGTTTCTCCGATTCCTTAAGATCCGTTGTGTATCTATGCTTTCCTTGAGTTTTCAAATGATTTTCCTGACTCTTCTTCAAAAAAAAAAACTACTTTTAAAATCTTTCTTTTCCGATCTAAGGTTTTTCTGAAAGTGTTTAAGTGTTTTTCTGACTTTCTTTGTCTTTCGTGTGTATTTGCCTCTACTGTGTTCTTGGATTTTCTTCTACCATGTTCTTGTATGCATCTCTTACTGTGTTTTCCTACACTATTTTTTCGTATGCTTTTCTACTGTATTCTGGTATTTTCTTCTACCACGTTCTGGTATGTTCTCCTACTATATTTTTCTACTGTGTTCTTAAGTGTTCTTACTATTTTCCTTCTACTGAGCTCTGTTTAAGTTTCTTCTAAAAGATCTTTTTAAGCATGCTTCTTCTACTATTCTTATCAATCTTTTCTCATTATGCTTAGAATTAGTTTCTTCACTCTGTTTGCTTTGAACCCTTCTACTGTGTTTGCATGTTATTCATGAGTTCTGTTGCAGAAAGAAGCATGTTGGAAGTTTCAGTTCTTTTCTGAAACCTCTAAACATGTTTCGATTCAATTGTTTGCCCTCTCATCTTTGCTTTGTGGTTTGCTTGAACTAGGGTCTTATCTAAAAAAAACCCTAATTCTTTTAGACTAACTTTGAGTCTCTGAACTGAGTTTGGACATCTTGGTTTTCATACAATTCTGTCTTTTTACTAAACTTTTCTACACTGGATTTTCCTACTGATTTCACAATGACACGACAATCTCTTTTTTTCTTTCTTTCATGCTTAACATGATCACATGCTCCTTATATATGACACACTTCCCTCTCAAGTGACTTTCAAATTCGCAATTAGTTCAAACTTTCTTCTGAATATGGCTTGATTGATTTCTTTCCATTGTTTGCTGATTTTCTCTGTGACTCGGCCTAAGTTAAAACCCTTCTTCATCTTTTCTGACTTGGTTCATTCATGGATCAGTAATTACAAGATCCTTGACCATTTGATTTACTGGCTACTAATTGATTTTCTTAACTTATTTGTACAACCGTGCACTTCAAAACCCTGTCCTTAAAATAACCTTTTTTGTATTTGCCCTTAATTGCATGTTGTGCACAAAGTGTTTACTCTATTCTTTCCTTAAATGGTTTTACCCGTTTGAATCTTAATCCCTTAAGTAAGGGAAGTCTTGTGTGATTGATCCTTAATTGACAATCAATTCCTCAATTATTTTCTTACCTTATTTCTCCCTGATTTTGCACTATAAGAGGCACGACCCTCTTCACAGACAGAACACACTTTCAGAATCCTTCTGAACTCATACTCTCTCATAATAATATTCTTTTCCTGTCTGCATTGTGGCCTGTTTTACAAGACCTACTGCTTTCTTTGCTTGTTTCCCTGAAAACTGGTATGTCCAGGTTTAATTCTTAGCATCACCACAATGTGTTCATTTACAGCTTTTATATCCATGTCTACTATACTATTTCTGTAAAGTTCAATATTTAAGTTAGTATGCTCATATCTTTCTGCTTGTTTCTGCTGTGAATCCTTGCTCCCTACCCCCATTACCCCTATATGTTTGAGAGTTGTGACTTAAGGCATGGCAATGTGAGTTGTTGCCCATGAATTAAGTTTGAACCAATGGGGTCTTAACCTCTAAGTAAACAGGCTGGAGGGTGTGCCAGCATCTCCCATTGCTGGGTGTGCCCATCAGCATGCTTTTCTTTTGTTCTTGCAAATTCCCCCATTCCCCTACACCCTTATGTGTACTGATTTTTAAGTTATTCCCCTTTTCCCTTTCCCCTTTCAGAATTCTACTTTTGCACTTGCACTCTCTCTTAGTTCATAAGTTCTGCCCCCCTCTGGTGAGCCTTGCCTTGGGACCTTGAGTTCCCTCTGAACTTGGACACCTGAGGGTTGGCCCTTCCACACTGCACTATGTCCTAATCTGGTGATACATTTGGGTATAAGTACTGCCTGGAGTTCTTATGAACTTCTTAGGGAACTCTAACACATCCAAATGGGAGAAAGGCTTTAAAATATGATCTCTTGGAGTTGGTTTACTTCATATTTCAGGCAGGAATTCTGAATCAGTCTCTCCTTGGTTGTACCTTTTAATTTATGATGTAATTTTCTTTTTCTAGGCTGTAATAATTTTGTAATAAACTCTTGGGGATGGATAGTGAAAAGGGAGGGATAACTATGTGAAGGGTAGATATCCTGTCTATAGGTGTATTTCTGAATTTCTGCACTCTCATATAGATATCCTGCCTATAGGTTATTTCTGAATTTCTGCACTCGCATATAGATATCCTTCCTATAGGTTACTTCTTGAATTCTGCATTTCTCATATAGATACCATGTCTGTAGGAATTC